CCCTGGTCCTGTGGGTGTCCCTGGCCCCGTGCTGTCCCTGGTCCCATGCTGTCCCTGGTCCCATGGTGTCCCGTGTCCCATGGTGTCCCTGGTCCCGTGCTGTCCCTGGTCCCATGGTGTCCCTGGTCCCGTGCTGTCCCTGGTCCCGTGGGTGTCCCTGGTCCCTTGGTGTCCCTGGTCCCATGGTGTCCCTGGTCCCGTGGTGTCCCTGGTCCCTTGGTGTCCCTGGTCCCATGGTGTCCCTGGTCCCATGGGTGTCCCTGGTCCCGTGGGTGCCCCTGGTCCTGTGGGTGCCCCCGGTCCCGTGGTGTCCCTGGTCCCGTGGGTGCCCCCGGTCCCGTGGTGCCGGTGCCAGGCCCTCAGCTGTGTGGGAGCTGCGTGCCCTCTGTCTGGAGCCTGCCCCACGCCCGCCTGCTGCTGCCAGGGCAGCGGGACAGCAGCTGTGCCAGCCCTGGTGCGGGCACCGCCGGCTCAGAGCGCTGCCAGCACGGCCCCTGAGCCGTGAGCCCAGCCTGCTCTCCACCCGCTCCAGGGTGCTGGGCCTGGGGCAGGGATCCTCCTGGGGAAAGGCAGATGGAAACCAGGTTCCAAACAGCTCCTTAGTGTGTGCACATTCACTTCTGCAAGTAAGTATCTTATCTGGAGCTAGCTGGATAAACTCTCCATTTCTAGTTTAGAGCACCTGAAAGCAATTTAGGAGAGGACTTTGCTGTGGCTCTTCAGCAAAGGAAGGGAGATTTCCTTTGTCTTTTCAGATGTCATTATGGCTGAGTGCAGCCCCTGCATTTGCTCTAGGAATGCTCCTCTGTAGAGGAGAAAATCACCATTACAAACCTCTTATTTTTAATACTGCTGCTTGGACCACGAGGCATTGCAGGGAATTGCCCAGTGGTTTCTGGGGGCCCCAAAGGTCTGTCACTGAGCTTGGTGCCATGGGCAGGGCCGGGCTGGCAGGAGGTGCCACCCTGCAGGGTGACAAAGGGCACTGCTGCCATGTGGGGCTGCAGTGTGTGACCAAAGGTGCCCCCGTGTCAGTCACGGCACGGCGTGGAGTCCTCGAGAGCTCTCCGGGCTGGGAACGCCGCTGCCTGCTCCGCAGCCGAGGGGGACTGAAGCCACATCCAGCAGGGACTGTCCCTGTCCCCTGGGAGCCAGCCCTGCACACCCACGGCACCCGCAGCAGCCGGGCCCAGCAGCACCAGCATCGGAGTTCCAGCCCCGGCACCTCCCTCCCACCGCCACACACCACACAGGTACCACCTTCTATTGCTCTGGGGAGAAACTTTATTGTGAGCAAAGAGATATTAATTTTGTGAGGGGTAACAGAGTGGCTTTGTCATCCAGGGTGCAAAACCACAGCGGAGTTTATACAAATTAATAGTTTTTTTGACATCAGGAAAACACGATTTTCATTGATGTCTTAATTCTTCCCTGAATTAGAGGTACATATTGCTCTAAGGAGAAAAGGCTCCTTACTCAGAAGGATGCCTTTGAAATTCTTTCAGACCAGCTATTGGATAACTAAGTGCCAGACACCCTTGCCTGTCCAGCCCTGAATGCAAAATAAATTAAAATACATGTTTTATTTTCCAGGTTCCTTCACTGACAGGAAAGCAATAGAAAGCAAAACACAACTGTGAAGCAGAAAATCAAACCGGTTTGCCCAAGCTCTCAGTGATAGAGGTTCCTTCCTGCAGCTGCACCAGGTGAGTTCCTGCCGGGCACCCAGGCTGAGCTGCTGCCCCTCAGGCACAGAGCGCAAGGCAGAGCCCAAGGGCCACCTCAGCATCACTGGCCACGGCTGGAATGTGCCCCACAGGCACTGGGTGGCCCCTGGCCAGGTGCTGGCACTCAGATGGACAGACAGCTGCAATACCAAGTGCAAGTGCAGAAACAGACACGGGGGCCCAACGGGGCATTTCCCAAAAAACGCAATCCCTTCGCTCAAAACAACTCCCATTCTGTTGGGAGGTGTGCGGATGTGTGCCCAGGAGCAACCAAGCAGCAGCAGGACAGGCTTCTGGGGCTGCTGATCTCAGATTTCTGTTGCTTTAAAATACCGGATACTTAACCCCATCAACCTGTGACACCTGCAGACCAAAACACCTCAGCTACTGCCAACACGAGCTCTGCTCACTACAGCAGGTGCCAGGGGGACCCCAAGTCCTCAGAAACCTTTAGTTGTGTTGTCCTCTGGCTAGAGACAGGTCCCTGCTGGGACAAGGTGAGGGGGTTACTCAGTTCTTCACACTGTGCCGGGAAGGGGTCATGGCAGGAGTGTGGCATTTGCTCTTCTAAAAGTGATTTGCTTATCTTTGTTTCTCTAGGGAGCAGTTCTAGTGCGCAGCCATCACACACACCGCAGAAAAGCCACGGTATTCCCGCAGTGGGACATCCCTCATCCACCTGTGCTCCAGCAGGGAACGTTTGCTAGCGGGCTAGTCACGGGAAAACCTCTCTTTAGCAGAAATTCCCTAATGCACAGGTAAGTGCTGCCTGGAATGACTAAAGCAGTGCTCTAAGGGTACATTAAATAACTGGTCTCAGTGCTGGTTCGTGACCTCTGGCTGCGGCACCTGCGCCCAGGGGCTTGGCTCACGTAGTGCCAGTGCGGTGGTGACGGTGACACAGGTGACATCCAGTCCCCAGCTATGTCTGTCCAGACTGGAGAAAGGCCATTTCACAGAGCAAACTCCTCACCCAGGCTCTTCAAGACGTGTTCACCCAGACCTGCCTGTTCTGATCTGTGCTCAGGTGCCGTGGGCTGCCCCGGCCACAGCTCTGAGCTCCAGGGCCTCAGGTGGACGCCTTGCTGAGGGCGCTGGTGGAGCTTCCCAGAGACCCTGCTCCTGGAGGCACGCGGAGTGGGGGCAAGGGCGGCTCTGCCAGCTGGATTCCAGTGGTGTCAGTGAGGTCAGTGCTTGCACTTGTGGTGAGGCAGCCTGGAAGACAGAGTGGGCAGGGAAAACCCAAGTCAGCACAAAACAGCCTGTGTCCTCAGAATAACCACGTGGCACAGCGCAGCCCCTCCTCTTTGCCTCTTCCCAGCCTCTCCTGGGCATCACTCGGGTGAACTCGACCACCAGAGGAGGAGTTTGCTCCAGGCTGCTGAAGAACTGCCATACTGTGCTTCCCAGAGAAATCAGGGATTTCTCCTTAGCCAGCTCCCAGAAGTGAGGAGCAGCGAGGCTGTCAGTGTCCAGGTGAGCACTGACATCACCCCCTTTTGGTCTGCACAGCTCTTGCAGCTCCCAATGGCTCTCAGGGCCCCAACAGTCCCATGGGAGGGAGGCAGGAAGCTCCCATCGTGCTCACTTGAAGCTCCAACATAAAATAGTTCTGTGTGGGTGACACAAAACTGGTTTTTGCTGTGTGCCATTAAACTGCTCCTGCATATTTGGCCTGTTACAGAGAGCTGGAAATGAGCACCCCCAGTGTGAGGGCTGGCACAGAACTCTCCCTGGAAGGTGCCTTAACCTCTGGAAGAATCCTAAGGAATCATGATTTCTTACACTATATTACAGGTACCCTTGTTACTGTTGTCACCACTGGGGAAGGGTCTTGGGGGGCTGTGGGTAAGGGGGGTTACTCTTTGTTGTTGAGTGGAGTCACCTGTTGGTCATTCCCCAGAGGCCAGGTCTGCCCAGGCTGGCTGAGGGGGAACAGGTGAGCACATGGTCATTAAATGAGACACTAATGACCAAAACCAGGTGCAGCTGCTGTGAGGGACTCGCCCTCCCTGCTCCTCCCAAAGCATTTCCCAGGGGAACAGTGTTTCATCAGCTCCCACAGGAAACAGTATTTTTAAACTGTGTTGCAATTCTCTCCTCGAGTGTAAACACAAGTTTTTATTACAGGTGGGAGGGAGGAACAGCCTCACAGCCAGGCAGGGAGAGCAAGTTCTGAACCCTCTCAGAAGACTGGCACACCAGTGGCTCCCGCTCTGAACCTCCTGAGGGATGGTTGTGTAGTAGGAAGACCTACTTCCAGTGCAACAACTGACTCCATTCCTAGCTGTGCCTGGCCAGGCCACAGCTCTTCAATCCTCCCTTCACCTTCCCAGCCCAGGTAAATCTCAAATGTGTGCACAATGCCCCAGTGGGCGGCCAGGGCCTTGGCTGAAGCTGCCCATGGCTGAGCTGTCCCTTGAGGCACAGGTGAGCAGGGGACTGTCCTTGCAGGCCGGGTGGAGACATGGCCTTGGGTCAGTGTGGCAGCAGGATGAGCCCTCAGCTGCTGTCTGAGGACAAAGACCCACCCTGGCTCTGGACCGCACTTCCAAGGTGAGGTGTAACCTGTGCTTCTGCTTGAGCAGCTCTGAGTGTCTGAGTGACTGAAAGCAGGAGCAGAACAGCAGCAGAGCAGCCCCGAGTGTGAACCCCCCCAGCCTGCTGCAGCCGTGCGTTTGCATCCCAGCCACAGCCCTGACCAGATTGGGCCTTTGAGAAAACTGATGAGGGGAAATTGCACATTTTGAAAAGGTGGAAAGTGTGACTTAGCCTGTAAAGGCATTTTCTGTGAAAAATGCAGAACTGTCAATTTTGGATTAAAACAAAACCTGTAGTGCTATTAACTGCGTTGAAAGGCACGGGGGAGGGAAGGGCTGTGAGGGAGGTGTTGTGCTTGGCACGCCTGCAGTGAGGCAGAATGGCAGATGGTAAAAATAATGCAGGTTTCTCCAAACGGACAAGCTGAGGCAACTTAGAGAGAGAGGGGAAAAAGAAAATAAAGAAATAAAATTTTTAAAAAAAAAAACAAAAAAAACCCCCAAAAAGGATGTGGATTGTGGGGATCGTTTACCGCGCGCGGGTCGTGGGAATCGGTCACCGCGCGGGAATCGGTCACCGCGCGGGAATCGGTCACCGTGCCAGAATCGGTCACCGTGCGGAATCGGTCACCGCGCGGGAATCGGTCACCGTGCGGGAATCGGTCACCGTGCGGGAATCGGTCACCGCGCGGGAATCGGTCACCGTGCGGGAATCGGTCACCGCGCGGGAATCCGTCACCGCGCGGAATCGGTCACCGTGCGGGAATCGGTCACCGTGCTGGAATCGGTCACCGCGCGGGAATCGGTCACCGTGCGGGAATCGGTCACCGCGCGGGAATCGTGGGAAAACGTTACCGTGTGCGGGTCACGGGAAAACGTTACCGTGTGCGGGTCACGGGAAAACGTTACCGTGTGCGGGTCGCGGGAAAACGTTACCGTGTGCGGGTCGCGGGAAAACGTTACCACACACGGACCACAGGACTCTGTTACCGCGCGCGGATCGCGGGAATCGTTGCCAGGCACACGTGAGAGGCATTGTTTTATGTGGATCATAGAAACCATTGCCATGTCTGGGGTCATTAGTGTACACACATCACGGGACTCTGTGCCATGGCCACAGGGCATTAGCCCACGTGGCTCGCAGGAGACGTTACTGCACACAGGAGATATTACTGCACACAGATGTTACTGCACACAGGAGGTGTTAGTGCACACAGGAGATGTTTTACTGCACACAGGAGGTGTTACTGCACACAGATGTTACTGCACACAGAAGTTGCTGCTCACAGCAGG